TAAGGGTGCGAGGTCTACCACTCGCAAGTGATGGAGTTTTTGACAAACATGATGCGTAATTCGTGTCATATTTTACTTACACTTTAAGCTGAAGCGTCCTTAAGCTACCCTTTGCTTGAAATAATTTCGGTGTGTGGCCATAAGCACCGAAATTACTCAGTAAAATTATGCAAAAAACACCGAATTAACTGAGAACATCGACTTCATTTTGCGACTAAGGTATGCTACGTCCAGTTACGTGATGAAAAATTCTCAGTAAAAAGTCTGTTTTGTAAACTTTCATCGCGTCGTGGATTTACATTCCTCGATTAATTTGCGCAAATGATGCGAGTAATCAGTCGTGTAGACTATATTCGAGGGAGATTCGTAGATTGCGAGAGACAGTGAACTCCATCCGAAATTAATAATTTTAATGTTTGTTGAGTGACTCAATTTTTTTTTTACGTGATATATACTAATTTACGTGATCAACTGCAAATATGCGTGATAGTTCCCTTATTTATAAACTCAGTGGATTAAACTTACCTTCGCAATGACCTTTTCTTCGTGACTCAGTGTTCACTGTTGTATTTTCGAAGAAGGAATGGATTTCTAAATTAAACAAATAACAAGTTAACATGTACAGAGAACCTCATTATTATCAAACTGTCAACCACCATCTTGTTGTTAGTTAATGTTGAGCCGTTAGTCTGTTCACTCGAACTTGATCTCAGTGAAATATTTGTGGCTCTACTTGTTCCATATTTTGATCTAAACTTGAGTGCAAAGCTTGAAATCTGTAGGATATATACGCGTTTCAAGATCAAAAAAGAACAAACAAAAAATATGTTTCAAGACTCTCGACAAAGGACGCCGATGTAAACATCTCATTTTTGAGGGTGCAAGGTCTACCTCTCGCATGCTTAATACGTGCCATATTTTACTTACACTTTAAGCTGACGCGTCCTTAAGCTACCCTTTGCTTGCAATGGTTTCAGTCTAAGGCCTGAAGTGCCGAAATTGCTCAGTAAAGTTATACGGCAAACATCGAATTAACTGAGAACTGACATCGACATCATTTTGCGATTAAGGTATGCTACGTTTAGTTACGTGATGGAAAATTTTTCATCGAGAAGTCTATTTGTTACCTTTGATCGCGTCGTGTAATTACAATCCTCAAGTTATTTGCGCAATGATGTGAGTAATCATTCCTGTACACTCTACTTGAGGGAGATTTGTAGAATGCGAGAGACAGTGAACCCCATCGAAGGGGTTTACTAAAAAAATTGTGGGCGTTTAATACCAGACAAAGAGATCACGAGTTGATCAGGAGGAATGCGGCCTACGAAAAGACGAAAACTGATATCGGGAAATTCCCTTGTTGTCATTAATAGCTCCGCCGGTAAGGTTTCGCCCGGGAACAAATATTGATCCGGTTACATTAAGTCTTTCCTTTTCAGATCATTTTTCTCTCGAATTTCGCCTTCATCAATTCTCGAAAACAAATTTGACTCTGGCATGTTTGTGTTATACGTCAGAGGAAAAAAAAGCCGCTTTCGAAATTGAGATTTTACCCACAGGAAAAATTGAGCTCACACATATCAATAAGCTTGCTGGGTTAAAAGAACTGAGAAGCTGTGACAACGATTATTCACGGTGTGCGTTTCTTTAGGTGCGATTCGTAAATGTTCCCTGCACATAATCATTTTACGATGGTTTGTTAAGAGATATCTTCTTTCCTTAAGTTTTGAGCTTCTCTCCTGATCCAGACACAATATGTCACACAACGCTTGCAATCGCTTCGACCAACAGCTGTTGGGAAAAACTGATGTGATTTCAACTCAATCAAATAAAGGAACCAAAAAAAACATGTTCCAAGCACCCCGACTGAGGTTGCCGATGGAAGCATTTCAATTCAAGGGTGCAAGGTCTACTTCTCGCAAGTGATGGAGCTCAATTATGACAAACACGATGCTTAATCGTGTCATATTTTAAGTCTGTTTGGTACTTTTGATCGCGTCGTGGAATTCAATTCCTCGTGTAGTTTGCGCAAATGATGCGAGTAATCAATCGTGTACAACCTATTCGAGAAGATTTGTAGATTGCGAGAGACAGTAAACCTCATCGAGGTGGTTTACATTAAAAAATTGTGGGCGTTTAATACCAGACAATGAGATCACGAGATGCTGAAGCGGAAGGCGGCCTATGAAAAAAAAAAACTGATATTGGGAAATTCCCTTGTTATCATTTATAGCTCCGCCACTAAGGTTACATCAAATACGAGAACACGTAAAGAACACTTATTTCCTGAAGAAACTATTGTCACGCGTGACAGATAACTGTAGCAGTGCATGAACACTAGCCCCCGTTTGGTGCGAAAATATGCACGAATATTTGTCCGCTGTTCCAAAATGCGAAGTTTTCTGCGAGCCAAACTCGAGGAAAACTGTGAGCTTCGAGGAACAAACAATGTCCATGGATAAATTTACGAGCATATTTTTCGCCAAATAGAGGCTATCGGTGTTTATTATCCTTCAAATATTTGCAAAGCGCGGGAAACTGAATTGTTTACGAACAGCTTACCGTTTGCTGCGTGGGATGTTCAGTGTTCTCTAGTACAGCTTTATCAATAGACAAACATGTCTACCTCTGTATCAACCACATAACGAGCAGATAAAAAAGAAGGGGTTCTGGCTTTTTTTCGAAGAAATCGTCGTCTCTTGAATATTTTTTGCATTTATCACCTTCTCCTATATCAGTGACCACTTTCACATTTGTAATTGTTGTAATTTTGGTATTCCAACTCCCTGTAAAATATCATTAAATTAATTAACTTTTCTTTGTAATCAGTAGTGCAATCAGGTTAGTTTACCCTTTCCTCAGGGTATTGTGCTGAGCACCAGATGAGGAATACATTTCCACACTTTTTTTGGCCACATCAAAAGAGTGGTTTTTTAGTGGTTCTTCGTATCTGGCGTAGCACAGGTTTTTTTTTTGAAGAACCCCTAGTTTCAGTGTGCACATATTGAGATTGTATAAGGATGCGTCTACTAGAAGACTGACTGACTTATCCTAAATAAACTCTTTACACTGAATGTCTCGTGTGAGTGTAGTCAGAATTCTAAGTATTCCAAAACCCAATTTTAAACCTCACGAACTCTCTTCATAACCAACGATTACTCCTCGTTAGATAACTAAAGGTCGCCTGACCAAGATTATCAGTGCACAATCCAACCTGTATTGAGCGGTCACAAAAAATGGCGGAAGAACAGCTTTATACAGGTTGACCGTTTAACACAGGTTTCAAAGAATAGGACTTAAGTAAGAAACGATAAAAAAACGCCATTGTATAGCATAATTGACCTTATAACGTATAAAGACTGCTACAAAAATACTACTAACTTTGATTTCGGAAGATGAACATGGATTTAATTTTATTTGAAAGATCATATTTAGTTTTATTAAAGTATTTCCGCTTTAATTGACTGCTCAGTTCGAATGAAAAATAATACAAACAGGCCGATAGGACTCACTACATAGTAAAAAAAAAAAAACAGGAAAAAACAATGAGAGCTTTCCCTCTTACGAGATGATGAAGACATGTTCTTTGGGCTAACGATGTGGAATTGCTTCCTTCTGCTCGGGGGTAAATTAAAAATAAAGCACCTATCATTATTTATCACAAGGGGGGGGGGAGAAAGAATGAAGGGGGGGATTACATGGTTTTCAGGGGAACAGAGGGGGGAAACAGTCATTGCTAAAAGAGTACAAAGAGGGGGGGGGCTACAGAACAACAGAACATTGACTGCTAATGAGGGGGATCATTAAAATACTACAAAGCTTTGGGGGAAGGGGGGGCACAAGGTTAATTTCAGTGTGATACAACAAAAATCCTCCCAAACATGGCAAAGCATGCATGGATGGCAGTACATAAAAAATATATAAATGGATTTCACCATTGGACAATCCATGGGGTGGCTCTTCCTGTCCACTTTTGCCAGGTCGAATTGGAATTTAGAATGTTGGTCTTTTGTTGAAGGAGGAAAACTGGTGGACCCAAAGAAAACCCCTTGGAGCAAGGATGAGAGCTAATAACAAACTCAATCCACATGACAACAGGTCCAGGATTTAAACCCAGTTCACATTGATGGGAGGGAAGGACTCTCACCACTGCACCATACCTGCTTCCACAGTTAAAGCCTAAAAGTTTAAATTAAGGTTCAAAAATTGCTTTTCATTTTCATGAGAGGGCCAAAGGTCTGTATCTCAGGTAATATAGCATTGAATTGCAACCAGCTCGCTTCTTTAATTTCTTGAATCATGATTGATGCTCAAGAACACAATATTTGGAAATTTCAGCCTGGTTCCAGCTAAGAATGGGTCTTTAGTCTTTCCTTGCACCCACCCCACCCCCCATCATTTGCCTTCTCACTAAAGGGAGTTCAGGTGGGAAGGAAGAGATCATAACATTGAGGTAAGTGATTGTTGATTTAAACTTCTTTACAATCATAATTACCTCAATTTTTCTACCATTGTTAAAAAGTTTTGGGCATCAATCACAATGTGTCAGGATGCTATATTACACGAAAAATAATTTGATGAAGAGATAAAAGGGAAACTCAACTTAAGCAAGAACAGTTGTATCTCAAATCAAAGTAAACCTGAAGTGAATTCATGGCCAGTACTATGCAAAATATTAACTTTTTTTGTCAGCACAACCTTTTAAGGTTACAATTCTAATTACTGAGCTGTTCTGCAATACATCTGGTACAAACTTAGCTGGCATCCTCACAAAAGTCCTCCCCAATTGATCTGCCGTATAATCCTTTAACTCCCAAGTGATGAGTGACCAAGACAGAATTTCTCTTTCAAATATCAATATCAAGCAGACAAGTGATGAGAATAAAGAAAAATACCAATTAGGGGATTATAGATTGATCCAATACCAAATTCTCCAAACTAACATCACAAGAACTGTATGGCAGACAGTAAGAAGAATTACTAACAAGATCATGGGAGTTAAAAGATTCTCAATCCGTCCTCCATCTTAAACCCATTACACCCTAACATCACTTTTAATATTCTCCATACTCTTCTCTAAAAATTTCTTAAGGTGCTCACAAGGAGAATTTGTTTAACAATCAGAAGCTTCTTTTCCTCTTTTCTCTTGGCCTTGATTTGTGATTCAGGGTGATATTGTAAGAAGAAATTAGATGCTATTTGCTTTGCACATCCAGTGGCAAAAAGGGTCACCTCACCTTTAATCTCTCAACCTTTCTTTTGGCCAGTGTTTGTTGAGCTTCTTCTCTAAATGAAGTCTGCAAGATGCAAAGACACTTCAAAATTAAAATCAGTTTAGACATGACCTGCTAAACCTACTGGCTAACTTTCATACTGTTACCATGGGACGTTTGTCTACAATACAACATAAACGTATTAGGCAATTACACGACTGAAATACAGCCTAGTTAGCCTGTGGTTAACTATAATCCTGATATTGCCATACCTAAGGATCTTATCTGACCATACTGGCTTGTTTGTATTGGTAAAATCATGATTTTGAATGCAATTTGGTGTTACTAAGCAAAAGTAAATATTTCAAAGACAACATTGCACACATCCGTAAGGCAAGTACAATTCATAGTCTTTGAAATATTTACTAGATAAGTGCTTACTAGTGCTTATTACACCATATCACTTTTACTTGTTAATAATTTACATGAAAAATGCATCAGAGAAAACGAAGATGGATGAAATTTTGGTGGCGCCCATGTGCTATTTGTGCTTTGCACTTGTGTTACAACTTTGCATTTGTGTTACAACTTTGCACTTGTGTTACATGAAAAATGCGTGTAATTTTTTCATGTTCATTATTAGTGAATTAATTATCTATATCTAGATCAAGACAGACCAAAACTCAACTCTGGGACTTTATAACATGACATGGGCTACCCAAGCAAGGTGCCAAGGTGTGTAAAGGTCAGCATATGGGGGTGAGGGGAGCAGACAGAGAGCATTAGGCAATTGACAAGAGTTAAATGAGGAGTACCAGCAAGGGGAAACTATTCCCTGTAGATGCACCCAGAGTGAAGATGAACCAGACAAAAACTTAAGTCACTTTTGCTTTATATTCGAGTGTCATCAACCTGCATCTTTGATTCACAAACTACACCTGACATGTGTATTCCACCATCTGTACTGCCACTTACAAACAAATACAATTTTTTAGGTAATGATGTACATGAAAAAATTATGCACTTCTGATTGGCTTAAAACCAGTGCATTCTGTTGTAAAACAGCTGTAAACCAATGCAGGGCCCAAAAAAGATAACTTATCAAGATTTAAACTTTCCAAAAAAACCCAGGAAACAATACAACAAGGAGCAGGCTACACAGATCTAAGACACCCAACAGTTCAAGGTAAATTGTGGAAGTTATAGTATTTGTCAACAAAATTATCTATCTAAGCTGTAAAATACTACCACAATTGCAAAAATCATCTCACTATTTTTTGCACATAGTTGGCTTGTTCCTGTTCTTTCCTTTTCTGGGCATCCTCCAAATATGTTGTGAGTCCTAAAGACAAGATGATTAATTTGTTCAACTTAAAAAGTCAAGAGAAGTTTTTTTTAATTAAAGCCTGAGAATTTAGACCCTCAACTGACAAAAGAAGTTATGAGTTTAACTGAAATTCACTTACTTGGATCATTTTCCATTTCAAGTGAAGTTGTGTGTGTCTGATAGATACCAACTTATCTCTTGCCTGCAAAGGGATCAATTCAAATTTCCATAACCTAACATTAGGTTGAAGTTGAACCCACTTCCAAGAAGTGATCAGCATGTAACTTCCCCCTATGATTTCCATACATCATCCAGCAAACAGGTAATGAGAATACTCAAACTTATCAGGTAGAAGATATCTTGATCCAACACCTAATTCTCATGACTATAATTTACAGGGAACAGGAGAAAATTAACAATCAGATCTTAGGAGTTAAAGGGTTAAGTGAATAAAGTGTAATAGAACAAAACATCAACAAAAAACCAACAAAAGCATCCCAAAAAGCATTCAAAGTAACCTAGTGAATGCGCTTAAAAAATTACCATAACGATACATTTTCAGTTGTTGATTGAGAAAAGCATGAATACAACACAAACTCACAACTATAAAAAATCGTTGCACAAGTGAGAAAGTTCTAAAAAGATGAGAAAAGATCAGAAATGCAGGTTATTTGTATAGTACCAACAGATGTTTACAGTAAATGGTTTGAACCCGGGAGTAACATGTAATAGTGTAGTTTGATCGTCCGGGTGAGTGTAGTCATACAGTTTCGGATGAAGATCATTCGACTGACAACAACCTTTCACTTGACTCTGACTATGACTTCCGCTCAGGTTGTCGAAACGTCAGTCACCATTACGGACAACAGTCCTTCTCGGACTCAGGACTACACTCACCCGGACGATCAAAATACACTATTAACAGTTGTTTAACTAATTAGGCCTTATCCTACAGCACTTTAGTCAAATACTCGCTTGACAGATGAACGCCATCGTCTCGATTACGAGCGTTTATTTCCCGTGCTTCTAGAAAGCGGCAGGGCTGCCAATTTGTAGTTGAGCGTAATACAATATCTTTTGCGAGAGGTAAGCTGTTTAATTCCAGACTGATGTTTTAAAACAGTGTTTTAACGAACCGTCTCCAACTTGAGGGGTTGTTTTTAGGCGGTGGTTTATTCCACTGACGGCTAATGTAGACTTCTGTTCCGGAGGAGGGTCTATACACCTCCAGAAAGCCTTTGCCTTCTCGATAGTTTCTGCAGAACTTCCTGCAAAAGACACTGTTGTCACGTCTGCCATGATGTTTTTGTTTTCATTTCCAGGGGTGCACAGTAACAAGGTTTTCTTTGCACAGGCTACCCACACTGCCTATGATACACAGCTTCCCTTACATCTACGATTTCCTGTTATGTGCAGTGTTTAGGATCACTTCACTTACTTATTAGAGTATTGAAAAAAAAAAAAAGACTACGTAATTACAAATTCAATCTCAGATGTTCTCCTAGTTTTGTCTAAAATTACCCAGTTTGTCAATCTATCATACAGTTTACAACTTTCCAACCCATGCAAGATTAACAGATAGCATGGCGAACTTGTTTTGATGAACAACTCTAGGGTCAAAGTAGGTTTCGTCTCATCTTTTCCTTGAGATTTGTCAATTGCTTAGAAAGGAAAAAGCAACATTCACCAGAAGTTGATTTCTTTAAAACTTTTGCCTGATCATTCTATCAGTTCTTTATCAACCCTGCAGCCTTAATCAAACTTTGATCAAACATTAACCTTGTAAAAATTAATCAAATATTAACTAATCAAACACAAATTAACCCTGTAACCCTAATCAAACATTAAGTCTGCAAAAATGGAGGAAATGATCACCAACTTAGTTTTTGATTGTTAAAGAAATTCTCCTTCTCAGCACCTTAGAAAATGTATAGAGAACATCATGGAGAAAACACATACTGACGTTAGGGTGCAGAAGGTAAATTTTTGCAAACTGTTGTCAGCCAGAATCTTCAAGAGACTGTTACTTAAGGGGAAGACTAAAAGCTGCACTAATGATCAGGTACTGGATCCTGGCATGGTAACAATATAATTAATATACTTCACATGATATTCCATTATCCGTTGATTTGGGAATCCTGCCAAGATCCTGGTAAGGTCATAAGGGGCCCTTTCGGCAGGTCTGATGGGATTCCCATACAATGAGAAATGGAATTTCATGTGAAGTACTTTATTAAAGAAAGTCTGGAAAAATGCAAAAGGAAACCAAATGGAAAGAAAAAGGGAGTGGAAACATAAGAAAAAGAAAACACCGATGTAAAATGCCAAAATAAAAGAAAGGAGAAATTTAAGACTGATGCAAGTCACTCCAAAAAATAAATGCTCATCTCTCTTGTGAGGTGCAGGAGCAATATGTGATCATTTGTGGAATTTGCCTACGCTTGAGGCTGGGGAATCTTAAGGGAAACTCGTTTTGTTAGTTGTCACACAAGAGAGATAAAAGAGGGGGTTTCCACATACCCTCCTACTGTGGATCAATATTTGTGGGGTAAAAAGACTGTATAAATGTGCAACCTTCAAACCAGTGAATACTGATTACTCATAATAAGCAGAGACCAGAGGATTTTGAAGCCCTCTATATTTGTTCCTGTACAGTTTTCTTTTCCTAAGCATATTTACAAACAAAGTGGATTACTTATACAAACAGGCCAATGTAAAGAGTTTAAAAGCTGATGTTTTGAGTGGCAGCCCTTCGTTAAAGCATAGCCCTTTGCCAATCACTCATACAAAGGGCTAATGCTGGAAACATCAGCTTTGAAACTCTTTATGGTGGCCAATTTACATTATCAACTCAGTTGATAATACTAAATTACCCTGTTATACTCTTCCACAGATGTAGCACCACAGTTTCTTTAGAAACTTACCCCTTTTATCTACTTGTACAAACAGATGATAGAAATACACGTTTCTTGATGATAATAATGGTATAAATACAGACAAACTTAGAAATATTTACTATCTTATTCAAAAATTTCTGTATCAGGCCCTTTGGTAGTGAAGGAAACTACCACAGCCCATGCTGTTCTTTGCACACTCTCCTTCTCTCATTTCCACCAACCATGAGACTGACACAAACTAAAAATTTTTTCTGCTATTTTCTGGATAAGAATTCTTCTTAAGAGATTCTATCCTGCTTGATATTCCATCATTCTTGTCCAATAAGACCTGAAAGAGAACATTATAAAGGTAAAGGAATCCACCCTTAACACCCAAGATCTGATTTTTAATTCTCCCCTCTGGCTGCTACACATTTCCTTGTGAATTAGTTATGAGAATTTGGTGTTTGATCAAAATAAAAATCTCTACCTGATAACTTTCAGTATTCTCATTACCTGTTTTCTGGATAATGTAGGGAGAGGTAACATGTTAATCACTTCTGAGAGTTCAGAAGGGTTAACTCCAAGATGTGATTTATATGTAACTTATACTTACAATTTTTATAAATTATCCAGCAAAAGACTTGATACACATATTAACTGAGAAAGTTGTGTATTGATGTAGCATCATATTCTCCCAACTAATTTACAAGAAAATGTAAAGTGGCTTGAAGGGAGAATTAATAAGAAGATATTGAGGGTTAAGGGACCTGTTTCACTCTTTCCTTAGATGCTCAAAAGCAAACTTTTTATAATTTATTCAACATGATTAAAAGGCCTTTCAGCAGCAGTCTTTCAGAAAAAATCTTTCCTTGATCACAATGTGTATGTACAATCCATCTATTACTAACTAGTTATTAGATGAGGTTAAGCATAATGTATAATGGTAATAGGACCGAGTAGAGTCCAATTCTGTCTGTAATCATACAAGTGATTAACCCTTTAATCCCCAAAACTGATCAACATGTAACTTCTCCCTATAATATTCATGCACTATTCAAAAAACAGTTATAAGACTGAAAAAAAAATTGAAAAATTTATAAGACAGTTCTTATTATAGAAAATTGCAAGAGAAATCATGAACATTTCTTGTTCATAAATGAATGTACATGAAGAAACATCACTGAAAGTATGGAAAGATGGAATTTTGAAAGCTTGCACATGTTATTTGTAATTTGCACTTGTGATACAACTTTGCACTCCTGTTACAAGAGAATTATGCCCTTGTTTTCAGCCAATCAGAAGCTTGTAATTTTTCACTTACATTATTAAACACTGTAATAATTTGGTGCAAGTGTTTAAGATGACTTCATGAAGTCATCTAAACCATCTATGTATAGAAGAGATTAAAAGTAACCCTCAGGTATACACTACCTAAGAGGGTATAAGAGAGATTAAAAATAACCCTCAGGTATACACTACCCAAGAGGGTATAAGAGAGATTAAAAATAACCCTCAGGTATACACTACTTGAGAGGGTAAAGGAGAGATTAAAAGTAACCCTTAGGTATACACTACTCAAGAGAGTATAGAAGAGATTAAAGAGGGTACAAAAGATATTAAAATAGATTAAAAGTAACCCTTAGGTATACACTACCTAAGAGGATATATGTGGAAAGACTTAAGGTATTATCCTCATGTATACACCACCCAAGAGGGTATAGAAGAGATTAAAAGTAACCATGAGGTATACACTATTTGCCTCTTTTGACTGAAAGTTGAGGCATCCACCGTCAATCTATATAACCATTTCACTTTTACTAGTTCTTGAATGTCTTTGTCAAGCTTGGCTATTCTCGACTGATATCTTTGCAATTCTCCATGATTATTTGATTAGAGGCATTTTGCAGCTGAAAAATCCTCTTGACTCTGCCTCAGGATTATTCAAAATTAATACTCACTTCACCTTCCGCAATGATTGTTAATTATCAACACTATTAGAACAGTATATGTATGTAATGCAAAAGAAGTTTAAATTATTTATTTTTCTCTACTGTACCTAATAATTTTTGGCTAAGTGATTCTCCATGCAGATTCAGATGTTTACTTGAGTATGCATGATTACTGACCAAATTGGACAACATAAAGTCTAATTGTCACCAATTAATAATAACCATTACAATTTCTGGAAGAACAAATGCAAAGTTTTAAACTGAAAGTGCTTTTTAAACTCTGTGACTAGTGGATTTAACTGAGTGGACTTACTAACTAGTATGATTGGCTGCTTTAACAGTCCAGATACAGCTAGCCATGTCCAATCTATGCAGTCAAACCTTGATTATCTGGACCTCC